CTGGTAGCCAACCGAGGCGAACAGCATGGACCAAGAGCGTCCGATCAGGCCGCTGTCAAAGCACATGTCCATGTAATTGTGTGGGTTTATATACAAATGCATGCATGGATCTGGACATATCCTACCTGCCGACAATGCCAATTTTAGCGCCTTTCTTTGTTTCAGACATGTTTCGTCTCGTTTTGCTTGCGTCTTTTTGATTTCAATGCGAACCGAAAGAACTCGACTACCACATTAGGCGGAGCACTTTATGCGTTTGAGCACTTATATGTGAAGCGCAACCGGTTTAATACTTATTAAGCGATAACAACAAAAGGTGAACGCGACCTACATATGTACACAAAGTGTGATGCCTGCTGGGTGTTGCTGATTTCAGTACAGATAATGGCTGCCAACAATTCAGCTGGTTTTTATTGTCGCCGCAGCAGCGAGGAGTAAATCAAAGCAATGAGCCCGCTGGAAAATTTACCGCAACCAAAACTAATAATATAATGTCAAAACAATATTTCATACATACATATGTATATATATATATAATCGCTAAAATCAAAATAAACCGGTTTCAATTTGCAACAACAGTTACATTTGCATATGTGTGTATGTATGTACATGTGCATAGCCATGCATTTCGTTCTCATCTAATTCGCAACTGGGTGCTTTTATTTTTATTCTTATTTCTGTCAAAATGCCCTTAATTTGACTTTTAATATTAATTCTTTTTTCATATTGTTTACCGACTGGAAGTATCTATCTAGCGATTTGTTATTCACGAACACATATAGAACAAATGTAAAACTACCGTCAGAGATAAAAATGAGTGTTTGAATTATCAAATGAAGACACACATACATACACACATTCATACATGCATAAAGACAAATCCATGTTTACTTAGCATATGGACAATATATATATTTGCAGAGCACTAGATACTACTTACCCTAGTTAAATATAAATCCAGCAGGCACATGAAGGGTAAGGGAGACGGTAGCTTTTCCTACTCCATGAAGAACATACATATACATATACTATATTCTTGACCAGGACGCCGAGCTGAAACGATCCAGCCATGTCCATCTGTAGCAACTCGTCAAAGTCGGAAACCAAAGATGCCAGAGGCTTGGTAGTCGAGATATATAGTATAAATACGCAAAATAGGCTTATCAATTTATGATATTTTTTCCTATTATATTCTTAATTCTAGATGAGGTTCCGTGTATTGTTAAGAAATATCAATGAATATAAAGGAAAATAGCGTAAAATTGCAAATGATAAAGAGGAGTATGAGATGGCAGTTCTCATTTATCGTATTTATTAATTCGGGTTCTAATAAGCATCTTAATTGTACATATCAATTGTGTCGATTCAGTTATTCTGGAACAATATATTGCTTATTATGCCCTGTCTACATTCTCCTCGAATGATGGATGATATATCGCATTTTGGGCCGCCACTCTTAAGTGCGTGGGCAGCTAAAGCATTTTAACTCAATTTTGCTCGAGCTAACATTATGAGGTCTAGGCCGAAGAGATTGTAGTATATACATATATATATATATATGTTTGTATGTCGTAAGTAGATTAAACTTGCGTGTGACATTGAAAAAGCGTATCACAGGACATCGGCGACTTAAGTATTGTGTGCGAAGAGCATTCCCATTGGCATATGTGGTACTTGAGGAACTCAATTATTTACTTAAGCCGGCCAGCATTTGTCGAATATAAGTCTGAAAGATAAAAATGAATTGAGCTTATGTTCACATTAAGATGCCTTTATAAATACATACATCTACAGAAAGGCGATCAGTATTATATATGGATGCATATATATATAATACTATATATATATATATATATAGTTCGGTTTGTTCAGTTGATTTTAATGCTGTATATAAAATGTATGTAGCTAGTGGTATCCTTGTCTTAAAGCGCCATTTTACGGCCCTCTATAGATATTTCGACGGCACGACGGCTCTCCTTCGAGCGTTTCGAATCCAAGAAGCGTTTCATATGTTTTTCATAGCGGTTGGGCTTGCGCTTTGACGACTACATGATATTGAAAGTATAGAATATTAATCGATGAATATGGAAAATAGTATGTGAGCGCCTTACCGAAACTTCGCCTTCTACGGTTGACTTTGGGCGAATAACATAATCTTTATTGGAAGGCATTGGTACACGGGCGCGGGCCACCCAACCGGGATCTCCAGGACGAAGCAATTTATCTTCACTTGAGAATGTTTGATTTAACGATGGTGGATTGCTGCTTGATGCGGGCTCTGGATCTGGGCTCTTATGGCGATTGCGGGACATTTGCGCTAGATCACGCTCTTGACGTTCCTCTTTGCTCATGGCTGAGAAATCACAGCTTAAATTGAATATGGGCCGAGCCCACTCGGATATCAAGCGACCCGCACGATCGCGATTTGTCTTTGTCTCTTGTGGATGCTTGTACAAGTACATAACAGCTTTTCCGATTCCAGACTGCTTTAAATAGGACTTATCTATGGTCGGGAACTATCACAGAAAAAAAAAATTAGAAAGAGAGATAAAGAGAGAAAGTAAACGAAAAGGAAAGAGATAGTTATATAAATCTGCCGGCTAGCTATGTTAATGGCTATATTTACATCAGATAACAGCCTTAGAATGCTCTCCCGTATTTGTAGACAAGGCAGGCTTTTATTTGGCAAAGGGGCTAACCAATCTGTAAGTACGTTGAGTATATTGTGCTCCAAAAAGGCCAATTGTAGATCCTTTTTAATCAGCTGTGACATCACTTGTTTGAGCATTGAAATTTTCTTTGTTGCTGGCTTTCCGGCCAAATTAAGCTGTCGATCATCGTCAGATGCATTCTTCATGTTTATAATCAATTGATCGATTAGATCGTCATTGTCATTTATCAGATCGATATCTCTCTTGCGGCGACGTACGCGTTTCTCTTCCTTCTTACGCAGCAGCATTGCATCGAAGTCGGATATAAAATTGCTGTTCCTAAAGAAATTAAAATATATATGATACAATTTATAATAAATATATACATAAATAACTGTTTGGGCACTTACTCTGGTTCATTTGAAATGGGCGTGTTTTCATCATCTGAACTTTCGACTATTTTTTCCTTTGTTTTTTCCGCATCGTCCCCTTCGGTGGCCTGCTTATCCGTATTGTCTTCATCCTCGTTATCTGTGTCTGTGATTTTAACACGTTTTTTCTGTAGCTTTGGTGTATCATCTATGGTAGGGAAATAATAAATATATGTGTATATTCCCATGAGATATGTATATATGTATATGTTTACTTACCTTCTGAGTCACTCGCTGCAGCGCGTTTGCGATTCAGTGCATCTTGTGAGGTAACAGACTCGGCAATACTATTTGAGCGCGATCGGGACTTCTTTTTCGATTTACTAGGACTATGTGTGGAGCCAGCGCTGTTGGAGCGGCTGCGAGAGTGCACTGATCCGGCACGAGAGGCCCTTGAGCCACTACGTGATCGTCTGGAGCCACTACGAGAACGCGATCCACTTCGTGAGCGTCTAGAGCCAGAACCGCTACGAGAACGCCTTGAACCGCTACGGGAGCGTCTTGAACCACTGCGCGAGCGTCTTGATCCACTACGGGAACGACCTCCTGAGCCACTCCGTGATCGTCTGGATCCAGATCCACTGCGTGATCGTCTGGACCCAGATCCACTGCGTGATCGCCTGGATCCACTTCGTGAACGCCTGGAGCCGCTTCGTGAGCGTCTAGATCCTGATCCACTACGAGACCGTCTAGATCCACTTCGGGAACGTCCACCCGAGCCACTTCGTGAGCGCCTAGAGCCACTTCGAGAGTGCCTCGATCCGCTACGTGAATGCCTCGATCCACTACGTGAACGCCTAGATCCACTACGTGAGCGCACAGATCCACTTCGTGAGCGCTTAGATCCAGATCCACTACGGGAGCGTCTGGATCCGCTACGAGAACGTTTGGATCCGCTACGCGAACGTCTTGAACCACTGCGTGAGCGTCTGGATCCACTGCGAGAGCGGGAGCGTCCACCTGATCCGCTACGAGATCGTTTTGATCCACTGCGTGAACGTCTAGATCCGCTACGAGAGCGTGTGCCACTTCGCGAACGTGCAGATCCACTACGGGAACGCCTGGATGCAGACCCACTACGGGAGCGTCGCGAGCCACTTCGTGAACGTTGGCCAGATCCACTACGCGACCGTCTGGATCCAGAACGACTACGAGAGCGTCGCGAGCTGTCAACTACACTGCCGCTACGGCTACGCGATTTCCGTGTTGCGCTAGGAGAACGACTGCTTATGCGCGGAGATCTAGGTTTTTCTTCTACTGGCTCGCTAGGTGGCACGCTGGCCGATTCCTCCACAATGCATGTTGAATCAACTTCATTGTCTTGAATAGTTTTCGAGTCTGTATCCGATGTCAGAGCCGCGTCACCATCCGGTTCCTTGCTGAACGCTTCGCCTAGAAAACAAAATGTGGACGCATAAGCACGCTAACGCTAAGGTTTTCTTCCCCTCTTTTTTGTGTAATACCTTTTTCAGCCTCCATATCCATATTTTGAGCAGTTAGAAAGCTCGGCTCATGTGATATTTAACAATTTGGCTCGTTAATGTTTAACGCTGATGCTGGGGTCCAAAAATATTACTAAGAACGCGTTTTAATTCTCAAAAAAAAATTACGAGCATACACACGCGCACTCGTCTGTATGTATGTTGTACAATACGATTGACTCGCCGCAGCAGATAGTTAACGAAACAAATGAAAACGAAACGTCAAATGTTCGATATATTTTGGCTGGAACTAGAAAACAGTTCGATTTTTTTCTCTTAGTTGAACTAGTTCTGGTTCATTAATCGTATATTTATTTGAAAGTCTTAAATAATTTACTTTTATGAATGTTTTATGTTTGACTATTGCTGTATTGAATTGGACAGTACGCAATTGACTTTGCACAAATATTTGTATTCTTGTTTAAAAGAATGAAAGATAATATAATAATATTTAATATCGAACACCTTGTTGAAAGTATTAAATGTATTATTTTTCAGTACATTAACAATTATAATTAAAATTTTAAGTAAAATGTATTATGTTGCCCAATAAATTCTAGCAATATTAATATTGCGCCTTATTTTAGAAAACGGTTTCGTACGAAAAAATTATTTAAAGCTAAAATCGAGCTATATATGTATATTCGTGTAGTTTTTGTTAAAACGTAGCCAAAAGAACAAGCTCCAAATCAGCATAGATCCATTCAGCAACATTCCACTCAGCGTTGAGTTTATGAATGCTGCGTCATATGCGCAAAAAATCTTGCGAGATCTAATACCGATATGGAGTATTTATGAATGCCATTCGACTACGCTGTAGTTCAGCGACGACCGAGCGTTTTTGACTCATGGACGCCGCTGTTATCCTCATCCACCGCCCATGGAGCATGAGCTACAGTTAATAGTTGGTTGTATGCGTCCAATGCGTCGGTTGGGCCTTAGACCTCCGTTACCTCCACCTCCGTAGCCGCCACCACCACCGCCACCGCCTCCTCCTCCTCCACCCCCACCACCCCAACCAGTGCTACGACGTTCGTTGCTGCGGTTATTTCCATTACCACCGTTAAAAGGGGCCAATAAGGTCTGGAAGCTATAAAATAAAAATATATTAATATAATGATTTCTTAATATTAACAATTTTACTCACAATTGCAGTATCAGATACCAAAGTCCTATAAATATCTCGACAACACGTTGGAAGTCCCAAGGACGCTTCTCCCAGACGCGACCACCTAAAATCAAGCAATTGCCTCAATAATATTACAAAACATCTGTCTGGTTTCGGGAATACTCACTGCGGTCAATGTAAACCATGCTGCGATCGTGTACACATGCAAAAGTGTCTTGTTTCGCAGTTTATTTATTATTTATAAAACTAACAATTTTGTTGACCATGACGTGTCTATAGATTGTGATGCAGTCACGATAGCATTGTATTCACAATATATGACATATCGATATTCATCTAAGCAACATTACCGGCACTCCCCCGAATGTGTGTGGAACGTTACAGGGAAACATCATTTGAATTTTTTGTTCGAATATTTTGTAAAATGTTATTATCATACATAGTTTGCATTTCACTTAAGTGTTTGGCAATATTCGCTTAAAAGATTACGGGAACACCTCTGACGCTCAACTGTATGTTGTCATTATGCGATAAGTCAATATTGTTATTGTGCTATCGATATTTCGATAGTTTGCCAGTTTTAGTCAAGTGCAAAGGAATACAAGTTGCAATTTAGCCATAACAAAACATAGCAAAGACGCTTACTCTGGCGTCTTTTGCTGCACGATTATCACAACGATCGCACAAGAACAATACATCATACAAGAAAGCTATAACAACACAATCGTGGAGCTGACACAGGCTATAACCACGGTCAGCTGCTACCTGACGCCGAGGTGAGTTCGAGTGGACTGCAAATTCTAGCACTAACTACTAATGCGTGTATCTAACAAAGTTTACAGCCTGTGCCCATTACTGACTAACAACGTCGTCATTTGGCCTTAGAGTAATTTTCAAGAATCAAATCCAAATATTTAGAACTAAAATCTGTAGTAGCCGTTGCATTAACATTGGCCTCCCACGCAGCGTGTTTATACTCTAGCAGAGGCTATTGTCATTTTATTACAGAATGTGTAACAGTTTGTATGGAAGGTTTTTGAATATGTACCGAGTCGAAATAGCTGTAGGTCTTCTTTTTGTAGATAAGTTTAAGAAACAGAGTTTTTATATGAGAAACTTTTTGCTAAGCAATGAGTTTCAATTTGTTGCTAACAACATCGAAAAACTATATCCAATATGGCTTTAGAAGAGTATTTAATTTTCGGCATGCAAAATATAGGTAAATAAATATACGTATATATATATATACATATATATATATATTTAATTTGTGACATAGTTTGACTGACACTTTTCATTGGGGGTTCAAACAGCCGGTATTTGGCTGGCCAACATTTATTTACATACGCCGAGTAAATAAGTATGTATATGTTAAAAAAAAACAAGTAAGAGGTTCTAGTCGGGAGCTCCCGACTAGGGGATACCCTGAACCTTCTTCCAACATCAAATGCAGCTATATGTCAAGTTCGGGAACTCTAGCTCTTATTATTTACCAAAATTGCCCAAACAACAGGATATCGATTTATCGATTATCGGAAACAAACTCGATCTGCACAGGCACTAGGAGCACCTACATCTTAAATTTCAAGTCTATAGCTCTTATATATTCTGAGATCCGTGCGTTCATACATACGGACGGACGGACGGACAGACAGACGGACATGGCTAGATCGACTCGGCTATTGATGCTAATCAAGAATATATACACTTTATGTGGTCGAAGATGAGTCCTTCTGCCTGTTACATATGTACATTTGGATTTTGCACAAATACAATATACCCTTATACCCATTTTTAATGGGTTCAGGGTATAAAAAGAAACGGGTTGGGCATCTTTCTAATTTGCACTTTGATTTTGGTTACAAATCATTTACACTTCAACTTGACCTTTGGGGCCAAGCAAATATTTATGTAAACACGTCTATATTTATATATGTATGTATGTACATGGACATGTGCATATGTATTCTATTTAATTCAGGTATGCTCGTGTGCGTGTATTCCATATCTGTATCATCGGTTACAGCTCGTTGCACGCTGTCGTTGCCTTTTTGGCAATCAACTCTTGTTGTTGTTATTATTATTATTATTGTTGTAGTTGTTGTTGTTGTTGTACTGGCTGCTGCTCTGCGTACGGCGCATTGCCTGAGTTTGGTCAGTAATCGGCAAACAACGCGCGCGTACGCATTTTTCTAGCTCGATTCGTTTTTGCTTTTATTATTCTTTTCTTTTTATTAGCTGACATCATTTGGCCGCTGGTCAGCAGTATCTTAGCGTGTGTGCGCGCGTGTGTGTGTGTGTGCGGGCGTGAAATTTGTTTATAAAAGCTGCTGCTAAAAAACGGTTTTTCTGTTCTTGCCTTTTGTTCTCTTCCTTTCTTTGTCGTCAGTTAATCTACCGTTATGCCTGGCACGTTCTCAAAAGCTGCTGTTGCACAAACGATCGCGCGCTTAGCGTGAACTGGAAACGAGTACGTGTAACGAGTAACAAGTACCAAGTACAATACTCGATACTTTAAGCTGCCGCCTGGCTGGCTCTACTCTTCAACTTCCTTTTCTTGTCGCTCTCTCTCTCTCTCCCTCTCTCTCTCTCTTACTGCTGTCTTTCACTGTGCCTCAACAATGTATTCAGCGGGTAAATACATAAATGACAATACATACATGCATACATACAAACATACTATGCCATACATATGCATCCTTTAATAAATAACAAAAACATAGATGATCAATATGCTCTCGTTCAGTTCCAATTCGCATTCACATTCACATTAATTTATATGCAAATTAACGTAATTTGATTTAATATATTCAGACGTTTTTTTCTTTTAGTTTGTGTGTGTGTGTGTGTGTTTGTATCTGTCTCTGTCGAGTGTTCAATATTTGCTTAACTATTAAGATCCAAGATCATTTCTGTTTGTACATTTGTTTAAATGCGTGTGAGCTGTCTGCACACCTGTTTACATCTACATTACATCTGCTCAATAGCATTAATTTGTTTATATGTAGACGCACCCTCCCCACCACCAAAAACACATGATTATACACTTTAGCATCACATCTGCATGAAGTCATCGTCGAATCGCAATATGACAGTCACTTTGCACTGTTCTCAGCCGGAAATGGATGATCATCCATTTGGTGGCTCTCTGGTGACTCCCGTATCAAGCAATTACATAATTGGCCGCATTTCAATGACCCCCATTTTAGCGAATATCAGTAGCCGCTGATAACTTCCATTTCGCTTTCAAATTAGCTCGCGCACAGTGGGGCGATTGTCGTTGAAACAGTGCAAACACATTTTAACATATGTACATAAATGCCTAATGCAATAAATACAAAATTAGAAAATCTAGTATTATATCAATGCAGCTTATCTTAAATTGTTGCTTTTCAAATTTTTAATGCTTTTAAATATTTATGTTCTTCGTTAAAATTTGTAGAATTATCTGTTTTGTGTATGTATGATCCACTGTGCCAATTCTAATTGATTAGTGGCCGCGGCATTTTATTTTTATCATTCAATCGATTAGCCCAAAGCTTTTATGCAGAATGTGCGCACTATCAGCATATTGCAACCTTCATAGCATAACATACCATGCCAACTCATACCGTGCTTTGCTGTGATTTCTACACACAATACATACAAACACATTTGTACATCTATGTGCATATATGTAAATATACATAAATACATACATACATACGTGTACATTTGACGGATTTTGCATAAGCAGGCGACTAATCATCTGTGTAATACTGTTTGCAGTGCGCACCCACGACTACGATTATCCCGAATCGGAAATGGACGAGCGTGAGAGTCTCTACTTTGATACGATCTCGCTGGCCGATTCGGAGGCGGCAGCGGCGGCGGCGCATCGCAAGTCGCTATCGCAGTCACGAAACACAATTTACCACTCGGCGGTGGATCTGGCCGGAGATGAGACGCGCAACAGTTTGCGACTGGGCGGCAGCAGCAGCAGCAGCAGCGCTGCCGCGGAGCACAGGCTGCCCTGGCAGCCGGGCTATCGACAGTCAACGGCGCTGGAGCATCTAAATGGTGCCGGTTATGGTGTTGGTGGCGGTGATCAAGCGGATGCTGCCATTGCGGCTCAGGTGCTAGCATTACAAAATGGACGCACACATCTGCCCACCGGCATTGGCGTTGGCGGCAGCGGAGGCGGCGCTGGCGTTGGCTATAGTTATAGCCGATCTGGTGCTGGTGGCGGCGGCAGCGGCGATGATGAGGTCTCTAGACGTCTTTTAAGACAAAGTAGCACAGTTTCTAATAAAGATAAGAAATTGCCAATTACATACTCCCAGTGGAAATTGAGGGTAAACAACCAACGATCAACGATCAACAAAACAAAAACAAATAAACAACAATCCAAAAAAAAAAAATACAAGAAGCACGTCGCATTTAGCTCAAGCAATGCCAAATGTCTCAATATGCCAAATTATTATAAGCAGCTACTCAATGGCACTCTCTCTCTCTCTCTGTCTCTATCTCTTTTGTTACGCTGCAATCGCCTATTTCTCTCACACATCTGTCTATTCAGTCGCACGAGCTTAACATTACGATCATGTTTCATTTCCAGCGTTCCATGGCAACACCGCATACAAAACTCACCCAATCTCATTTGTCTCTTGTCAGTTGCGCACTCAACTCCGTTTGGCTTTAGTCTGCATCTACACGATTTATCTTAAAAAAAAAAAATTGCATACATTTATTTATTTACTTGTTTGTTTTGTTTACCTGCTGGCTGGCTACGTTTCTCACCATATTCTTTCTCTTTCTTCTCTCTTTTTCAATAGTTTGCTTGCGGGAATGGGTAATGGCAATTTTTTAGCATATGTACATATCTATAGCATACATAGCTTGTACATCAAATAACTTTAAGTACATTGAACATACTCATAAGCGTGGAATATAGGGGGAAACATATTCGAAAATTCAAAGCTTTCACTAGTGACAATTCAAGCCGCAAAACTGAAACATAGAATATTTTAGTTAACAAGGTTTTTTCGATAGCTCCTGACAAGACAGTTAGTCGGATGTTGAATAGGATTAGATATCATAATATTCTCTATGGTGTCTGATTTGTGTTCTTTCTGGACAAAATCATAATAGAAAATGCTTCGCTTTAATATTTTTTAATGTCGTACTCCATCAAGGCCTTAAATAGAGGGAACATTCGTGAAATGGACACAGCAGCTGTGCACCCTGATAAGGGCGCAAATATTGTTATGTTTGTTTTTAACTGAAGATACCAATACACCCCTATGGAATTCTAAGCGTTTGAATATATATTTATTATATGTGTAAACATTCAAGACCCACGTCGATTTCCAAAGAATTGAAACTGATTGAACCCGACTCGCCTTGGGCCGTGGTATCAGTAGCTTTTTTTATTCGATTAGGAGTACTCGGGATATTCGTATTTCATTTAAGATATTGCCGGAGGAGCTTGCAGTTTAATTTGTATATTGCAGCAGATCGGTCAAGTTTGCGAATGTTTTGCAATTTAATTTCCAAGACTCTGCGTTCGACCTTACGTTCAGAGAGTGGGGAGACCAAAGATTACGATGCTCGTTTGGTGGGTTAGGCTGGGTGGTAATTTAAACGTGGCACACGCACCTACACGCGCTTTCCACACACAATCGATCTATGTACTATATATATATATATATATAAATATATATATGTATATTTGAGTTTTAATTGCGTAACATGCGATCCTTGTGACATATTCATTAAATGCTTGTTTACATCTTTTGCCGCAGACGTATCGACGCTTCAACGATGGCAGACGCAGCGTGGACTTTGTGCTGGCCTACAAGGGCGAGGATGTGGACGAGGTGGCAGCCAGCAAACGCAGAATCTTCGAGGCGAACCTGATGAGCGAAGGCATACAGCTGGAGTACTATAAGGAGCAATGGGTGCACTTTGTTAAGTTGCATGCGCCCGCTGAGGTGCTCTATCGGTATGCCGAGATTTTGAAGATCAAGATGCCATTGAAGATCATACCTGGTCAGGAGCAAATAATCGCCGATGCCACGCCCGATTTTAAGACAGTCAGTCGCATTTGCCGCAGCCTATTCAGTTCCGTGCAGCTGAACACCGAACTGTTTCCGGAACGTACGCCGCGCATTCATTTAGAATTCGCCCGCAAATATCTGGAGCTGTACGATGAGGAGCATCCAAACTTTTTTGATGAGAGCACACGCTATTCCATTATCAATTTCATAATGCAGCGCCAGCAATTCGAAGGGGGCGAAGAGAAGGCTGATAATCTGGGCATCGAGAAGCTCATCGAGGATGGGGTCTATCTGTGCGCATATACCCTGCACGATGTAAGCTGGTTTAAATCAACTTACTATCTCTATCTCTATTTCTATCTCTATCTCTATCTCTATCTCTATCTCTATCTCTATCTCTATCTCTATCTCTATCTCTATCTCTATCTCTATCTCTATCTCTGAAATTCCGCCCGCAAGTTCCGAATGCAACTTTTTTGTTTATTATCCGATCGGCCTCAAGCTCATTTTCAAAACTTCATATGAGGGGTGTTTTACACTTTGGGAAAAATCCATTCCTTCTTGCTGTCAACTTAGTTGACACGCCTTCACAAAGCTCAGCTCAAGATGGAACGGGTAGATTTCAATTTTCCCCGGGCGTGTACTTAGTGGAAAAGCTCCACGGGCAAGGCCGGGCAATACCCACTAGTATATATGTATATATATATATATATATATGATCAACAAATTATGTATTTCAGAAGGACACACGCGGCAAACTGCTAAAGGAGTGGGCGAACATTGGCAAATGGAAGAAGTAGGTGATATTTCTCATATGTGTTCACAGCTCTCTAACAATTTATTAATTCATTTATTTATGTATTCTCTTCTTGACAGCCTGCAGCCGTTGGATCACATCAAGGACTATTTTGGGCCGAAGGTGGCGCTATATTTTGCCTGGCTGGGATTCTATACGCAAATGTTGATACCGGTCAGCATACTGGGCATACTCTTCTTTGTGTACGGCTTTTTGACGTGGAACAGCGATCCGATTAGCTTTGACATTTGCAATGACAACGAAACGATCATGTGTCCCCAGTGCGATCGTGGCTGTAAATTTTGGAGTCTCAATGAGACGTGCACCTCGTCCAGGTTTAACTATTTGATAGACAACCAAATGACGATGGTGTTTGCCTTTGTGATGGCCATTTGGGCTGTTATCTATTTGGAGCTGTGGAAGCGATATTCGGCGGGACTGGTTCATCGTTGGGGTCTGACCGGTTTCAATCATCATGTGGAGCATCCACGGCCACAATATCTCGCCAAAATATCTAATTCGAAACGGTTTAGCGATAAGCTGAACGAACCAAAGACCACCTTCGATCCTGATGTGCCCTTCTGGAGCACTAAGTTTCTGCCCAACTTTACCAGCTATAGCATCATGGTGTTGTTTGTAAGTGAATCAAATCCACTCGCACTCTGTTTCGTATTTATTAATTATATTTTTGCATTTACCGTTCTAGATCTGCATATCATTAATCGCCGTGGCGGCGATCATCATCTATCGCATGGCGCAACGAGCATCCCATACTATTCTTGCGAATGAGAACACGATGACATATAGAATAATGGTGTTGCCCATAACGGCGGGCTTCCTGGACTTAATTGTTATCTCCATATTGGACATGGTCTATAGCAAGCTGGCGGTTCGGCTGACCAATTACGAATACTGTCGCACCCAAACGGAGTACGATGAGAGCCTCACCATCAAGAACTATGTGTTCCAATTTGTCAACTATTACTCATCGCTATTCTATATAGCATTCCTAAAGGGAAAATTCGTTGGTTATCCCTCCAAGTACAATCGGATATTTAGTTTTCGCCAGGAGGAGTGCAATCCGGGTGGCTGCCTCATGGAGCTATGCGTCCAGCTGGTCATTATCATGGTGGGCAAACAGGCAGTGAATGCCATCGTCGAGATCCTGATACCCTTTCTAATGCGCACCGCCAAGGAGTTTAGCCAGCGTTATGACTGGTATAGGCGGCACAGCGAACAGAAGCTGGTGCCCTCTACCAATCAGTTCACCGAAGACTTTAATCTGCTGCCCACCGAAAATAGTTCCCTTTACGAGGAATATCTGGAAATGGGTATGCTTGAACTTCATAATACAAATGTGACATGCCCATTGTTATGTTCGTTTCCTCTTCATTTTAGTGGTGCAATACGGTTTCATAACCTTGTTTAGCTTGGCATTTCCACTGGCTCCTCTTTTGGCGCTGATTAATAACGTGATAGAGGTCCGTCTCGATGCCATCAAGATGCTACGCTTCATGCGACGTCCCGTAGGCATGCGTGCCCGAAATATTGGTGTCTGGCAGAGCATTATGACTGTCGTTACGCACATTGCGGTCGCTTCTAGCGTAAGTTAATTCCTAATTGTTGTCTAAATGGTAATCGATATGATGTTTTATTGCAGGCCATGATAATTGCATTTAGCAGCAACTTTATACCGAAACTAGTCTACAAAGCCACCCATGATGATCCAGAGCTGAATAATTATCTAAACTTTACACTGGCTACCTTTTATACCAAGGACTATGGGACGCAATCGCTTTTGGATGTTAGCGTCCAAGCGAATGTAACGGAGTGCCGTTACATAGAGTTCCGCAACGATCCCTGGGAGAACCCACCCTATAAACGACCCATGATTTATTGGAAGATCTTGACCGCCCGTCTAGCTTTCATTGTCATCTATCAAGTGAGCCAGCTGCGTTGATTGATTCCCTATTTAAAGGCTTGTCCTAACGAATTGCTTTTACAGAATATAATAACTATGCTGCAGGGCATACTGCGCTGGGCTGTGCCCGACGTCTCTGGCCGTCTGCTTAAGCGCATCAAACGCGAAAACTTTCTGCTCCGGGAGCATATCATTGAGTATGAGAAAAGACAGGCACAGGAAGTGACCCAGTCACAGACACAGCCAAGGGTCGATGGTGCAGCAGTTACAAAAACAGAGCCGGAGTTCTTTTTGCGCCAGCGTCAAAATGGAAGTGATGCAGCTGCTGGCGACAATGCCACAACCTATGTCTAAGACTATAATACCTGAAACACGCACACGTAGCCTCCCAAATCCCAAATCCGAACACTCCCATGTCCATGTTCTTTGCCAGTGGTAATCGAAAGTGCATTTTAGTTATAAGCCTAAAATGTGAATTTGTTAGGGCGTGAATTATGTATATTTAAAAAATATATAGCTTATGTACTTTTGTATATATAACGTAATATACATTTAGTTTAAGGGCATATTTTGTTCGCCTTGATTGTTCATATTGTGTGTTGTCATTGTACTGTACTTAACAATTGAAATGTTTTAAATATTGTTTTTGCAAATTGCATATGAAATGCTCAAGAGGCGAAATGCATTCTTTTGCATCTGCATAAATCCTGTTACAAGTTGCGACATTTTTACAAAATATCCAATTATTAATTGCCAAATTGTACAGTGTTCGTAGAAACTGCGACTGATGCAGCCAGGCACTCGAAATTAGATACATCAAAATGTGTTAAAGTGCATTAACGCAATATATAGAATCAAACCAGATCATATACAAGCGCACCTGCACATTCATACGTTAGATGCCTAGCTCCATTAAGTATTTGCGCCGAATTGTTGAGAATAATATATTATAAAATAAGAAAGCAAGTGTTTAACTGCTTTCTATTCACGTCCAAAGTGCACTACAACTGCAATTATCTAATCAAACGCGTTATTTTCAATCTTAAGATATCGTTTGTACCTACAGAAAAACCAAACTTATCAGATTGCGTGTGCCTAGCATATATAAAACTACAACAACAGCAACAACTAAATAAACATATAACTATGACCACACTAAAAAACAATCCAATGTACCTTATACAATATATATATATATACACAAAACATGTACATGCCTATACTATATGTTGATTATGCTCGTTACAATCGGTTTGTGTCTTGTATCTGTATCTGTATCTGTATCTGTATCTGTATCTGTTGTTACCTTTGCCCCGCACCACCAGCACACACTGCATAAATGTTTTATACGACAAGAAATGCAATTGAAATAACGATACGAAATAGTATATATTTTATTATTTTGATAAACATATTTATATACAGAACACGAGATGTGCTGCGATGTACAGAATGTTCTAATGTACATTTACACATAGCATTGTTAAAAATTTACAAAACTAAAATGGAAAGAGATTAAAAACATGAATTAAGAATTGTAAAAAACAAAAGCGGAAATATATGAAAATTATATAAATTGAAATGATTTGTGTTTGAATTTTGGGAATGTAAATCGCGCTCTAAAATTGTTTGTAGATCAGCCAGTTAATGGCCTAAAAGATCCATGGAATTAATGGATTGAACACATTTGTATGCGTCCATAATATGAAATAGCAAATGCGTCGTTGTAATTTTGATCTTGTGTAACGTATGCCTTAGTGCTACAGGTCAGTGAGCCGGATCAGAGCCAGAGCAGAGCCGGAAGCTGAGCTAGTCATTATATGAAGCGTGATATTGTATAGCAATATGGTGTCAAATCAATTGGAACTGAATTGGCGGCGACACCCGCTGAAATGTGGATATCAACAATTGAGGCATATCAAGCGGACTGACACACAACACTACGCTCCAGTTTGAGTCGGGCCAGTTTAGATGCTAAGATCAGCTAGCGTCTGGTGCTAATCAAATCGCTTGCAACTCAATTGAAATGGATGCCGTGGCCAAAGCAGACCGCGTCCCCAGACCCCAGCTCAGTCAATTGTCTTTGGCCAGTCGAGCTTTATAGTTGGACACATCACACACACACACACTCTGGGACTTAGCATCGAGTCTGTCGGCGTAACGCTTCCATGGAATTTGCATCAGCCACATTTGGCATACAAAAACTAATAGAAATAACAAAAGTAAAAATAAACCTAACCGTATCTAACGAATCTGTCAACCCTGAACCGCATTTGCATCGATCCGATCACTTTCTGGCACTGTCACGACTATAAAATGAGCCCCAGTTCCGTAAGTAGACAAGATGCTGCCCCGCAGCTAAGCCAAATTGCTATCGTGCGGACAATTTTCAGCAGCTAATCCTATTTTCCATTTATTTCCAATTTCCATTTTGCATTATCAGCCGAAAGTCATCAAGCAACTGAGCGCAGCGGAACGTGAAGAGTTTTTCGATTCCTTTGATGTCGTTTTCTGCGATTGCGATGGTTTGTTCTTTATGCATAAATTACATATACTATGCAGATACAGATACAGTTGTCTGGGTTTGTTCTGAATTTCACATTTGATGAGGTACGGTTTTCGATTAGATTTAACGTTTGGAGTAAATTGGACTTGGATTTCATAAAGAGCTTGGAGCCGTTAAATTATATAGAAAGTCGTAAAAAGCTAACAGATTGCATTTGAACGTGTTTCAAACGGCATTTTTTCTCCGTTTGCCAACACTGGACTGTAAGCAATTCAAGTAAATTGAAGAAACTGGACGTGAACTGTTAATAAGTCTCAGTTTTTGAAAGTGCTGTACCAAAGCATTTTGCATAGCAAAGAGAAAATAAGACCCCATTGCTCATACTGCATTCTTTGGCCTTCAGTTCAGTTAAGTTCGATTTTCAAGTCTTTTTTTTTCGGTTACAAAATTCAAAAGCCAATTGCTACGTTTTTCAACACTGAAATCAAACAAAATCAAGAAAATTTACCATACTTACAAGAGAAAAATGAGATCTCATTTTGACCGTCGCCCATTTTTTCGCAGGTGTTGTCTGGTACACGCTGCGCGACTTTATACCCGGCTCGGCACAGGCCATTGGGGAGCTGCAGCGTCGTGGCAAACAGCTCACCTTTGTGACCAATAACAGCATCAGCTCCGTGGAGGAGCATATGCGAAAGTTCGCCAAGCAAGCGGCATTGCATATTGACCAGGTTAGTTCCAGGTGATCTAATAAGTTGGCTGCGATTTGGTTTTGAATCCCTTTTCCGAGCAGCAACAGATTGTGCATCCGGCGCAGACCATTTGCGATCATCTCAAGGCCATTGGCTTTGAGGGGCTCATCTATTGCCTGGCGACGCCGCCCTTTAGGCAGCTGCTGTGTGATGCGGGCTTTCGTCTAACCGAGGAGGTAAGTTGCTTTGCTGGCGTTGATAGATACTTGGCTCAAACGGTTTTGCCTGCCAGCGCGAGGGTCTAATCATCAAGAGCCTGGGAGAGCTGCACGAGGCCATCTTTGGCGGGGAGCCCGTGCAGGCTGTCATTATCGATGTGGACTTTAATCTGACGGCGACCAAGCTGATGCACGCTCAGTTTCAGCTAAAGAATCCCAACTGCTTGTTCCTGGCCGGCGCTGCCGATGCGCTAATACCCTTCGGTGCCGGCGACATCATTGGTATGAATTTATTTTAATTTCCATTTCCATTCTATTCTGCATATATATCACTGCGTTTCCTTTAAGGACCTGGCGCCTTTATTGACCTTGTCGCCCGGTCCACTGGCCGCCAGCCCACGGTGCTGGGCAAGCCGGGCGAGGCGCTGCGTCAGCTGTTGCGCCAGCACCACGGCCACGTGCCAGCCAACCGAGTGCTCTTCATCGGCGACAGTCTAGCCAGTGACATTGGATTTGCGCGCGCCAGCGGCTATCAGACGCTGCTGGTCCTCACCGGCGGCAGCAGCAAAGCGGATGTGGCCAGCCTCTCTCCGGGCCACGCCCATATGCCCGACTACATAAGCGACTGCCTGGGCGATATTTGCGGCAAGTGAGATAAACTAATGGAATAAACAAATACGAATACTTATTCTATATACTGTATTGTTTTAAACATAAACAGCTCAAGTAGATCCCTTGAAGCCAATAAAGTGCATCTATATATATATATATATAAATCGTTCTTATAACATAAACAATTATGAAACTTGTCTATAAACATTTTCCAGATGCTCGACTTACTCGGCAAGTGAATTTCTTATTTGTTAATCAATAACAACAATAAACAAATGAATTGCAGAAGCAAGAACCAAACATTCAATGATCTAACTTAACTATAACAAATAATTTCTATAAGGCAGCAAACCGAATTTTAATTGTAAATATTTTCGCTTTCAAAAATGGTTCGATTCGAAACCATTTCGTATTCAAATCTTGGAGTATTATTGCGGTTATTTTTAGTTTGATTTGCATTTCTTGGCAGAATTATTGTTGGTTTCTGGAACAGAATGCAATAGTTGCAGAGACCACAATGATGGTCACGTTCCGAATCCACCTATATACCTATGACACAATAGAACCCTTAACCGTTTACAGATTACAGATACGTGCCCCAATCCCGAATGCTTATGGTGTATGGTGTAGTGGGCCTCAGACATGCGCCTTGGGCGCAATGTCGGCAAGCAATTGTATGAAATCGGCGACGCTGTCGGCATAGTAGTCGGGCAGATGTTCAGGACAGGTCTCCGCCTGGAGCTGGTCGAGCGTACAGCCGCCGGTCAGAACGAGCAGCGTTTGGAATCCGCACATGCGGCCAAAGCGCACATCCTGGGCAAGCATATCGCCGATCATGAGCACACGACTGGGCATGGTAACATTGTGCTGCTGGATCAGCATATCGCCAAGTGCGCGGCCCGGTTTACCCAGAACCGTGGGCTGTTTGCCGCTGGCCTCAATCAAGACGGAGGCAAAGGCACCGGGTCCAATGATGTTGACACCCTTTGCCACGGGCAACAAACGGTCTGTGGCGCCGGAAAGCAGCAGGCATTCGGGATGTCGCAAATAGAGATGGGCGCGCAACATTTTGGGCGCGGTCAAATTGAAGTCCACATCGATGACGACAGCGCGCACCGGCTGCTTGTCAAAAATGTTGCGTGCCAAATCCTCATAGGTGTCGTCAATGAATTGGTTGGGCTAAACACTTGAGGATTTAGAGCGGTTCTCTCAAAGATTGCCAAAGCACTTGTTACTTACGCCATCGATAAGCTGGTAGCCCGCCTCGCGCAGCACCCTCTTGAACTCAGGCGAGGCTATGATGTAGATAAGACCCTCAAATTTGATGCTTTGCAAATAGTAGACCATTGTCTGAGCCGGATGCCAGATCTGCTCTGGTTTCACCTGCATGTTGGCCATCGCAAAACGCTTCACAGTGTCGTCAACGTTGCGCGCGCTGTTGTTGGTAACAAAGGTGAGCTGCTTGCCGGCACGCTCCAGGGCCGCGTACGCCTGGTCGGCATTCGGCACATTCACTTTCAGGGTATAGATAACTCCATCTATGTCACTGTACACCCGATCGAAGGAGTCAACAAAGCGGCGTCGCTGCTCAGCGCTGAGCTTCAAAATGTGCTGCGGCTGCTTAAGTAAATAGCCATATGATTAGATTAATATCAAATAGCTGGGGACCAAAGCTAACGTCTTACGCTTTTGTTTGTCATGTTGTTGCCTCTTCTTCTTCTTCTGCTGCTGCTGCTGGTGCTGCTGCTGGTGCGGCTACTGGTGCTTGTGCTGCTGCTCGAGGCTGTCGCTGGGACGTCCGGCACTCAACTAATGTGACGAACTCGACTAACGCATCATAAAACTAAAAACTGCAAAATAAAAATGATTAACACTTTGCAGGGGTAAACGAAGACACAGACGCCGGCGTTGCCACCGCTCAATATCAAAACAAAACCAATAACGAAATATATTGCTCGTTGCTGCTATTGTTTTTAGCTGTGGCAAACTCTGCTGTCGCTTATCGCAGCCACTGACTGCACGCGCCAGCTTTCTCTCTCTCTCTCTCTCTGTCGCGCACTCTCGCTTTCTTTGCTTACTCTCGTTGCTTGTACCCACAACATTGTGTGTACCAAATAAACATTTAAATACTGATACACATACACATGCACATGCGTAGGTACCGTTAGAACAGTAGATGAGCTAGCGTTTCAGCTGGAAATGGAATTAGCTAGAAATGTAAGTGATACATGCATACATATGTATTCTTAAGCATACACATGTATGTATGTATGTACATAAGCAGCTAGTAGAAATGAATAACAGGGTTATAAATCCAAGTGTAATGTATGTATGTATATGTGTGTACATATGTATGTATATATTTAACAATCAGATACGTGTTAGAAGATAAGTTATGACCATGGTTGCCACGTGCATTGCAAATGTACCAAAATAACTTTGTTTTTATTACTAGACTTTTTTGTTACAAAATCGAGTGTTTTTCGTCAATGAGTTTAAATTAAATGTTGTGATAATATGTTCATATATTCTTGAATTATGAATCATCTTTGAGTATTTTCAACTTTCTCAGGCTGCCCAAGACTTAAAATATACAAGCTACTTAAGAAATAACGAAAAGAAAAAATATATACATATATGCGTTCAAATAATTTACATTTAAGCAAGTTACTCTTATATTTTTTATATATATTTAAAAATGTTGTACTTGGTCTTGTAACATCCGGTATAAACTACTTTCTCAAGTGACAACCCTATTACAATTGTTCAACGATTCTTTAACCGTTATGAAACCGATTCTGACAGCGCAGCCTAAAATAGATACGAGTCTTAATTTAAATGATGCAGAATAATGTATTTAAATAATTTCATAAGCTTAAGATTAACATAAATACTGTTAATTTCAAAATTCGATTTCCTTTCATTGCCTTAACATAAATAATATACTCTTATAATTCTCTACTACTTGATAAATATAAATATTCATAACAGTTAAAACAAATGAAATACATTTTACTCCGGGGATATATACAGAATAGACTGTTATTTATTATATTTATATGCATATTTCGTATTACACTACAATACAACTTATCTAGTAACTAACTATTCTGACCTATTAGCTACAACCAACAAAAAAAAAAAAAAAAAAAAAGCGGGAATAAAGAAACTATAGTGCTTAATCGAGGTAACTAGAACATAAAACAATGTGAGTAGATTCTGTAATACTTAGCGCACATATATATATGAAATAAATATCGAGCATGTATGTGTATGCTTAAGGGTATAATATTAATAGTAAAAGAACAAATTCAACATCACAAATTGTAAATGTTTAAATTAAAATTAATAATATCCGTATTAAAAATGGATGAGTAGTATTTTCGTTTCTTTCTCATTTTGCTTGGAATTGAATATTGTGTGTTAGCACGTTTAAATATTAAAAACTGATAAATAACTATAAGAATACTCTGCAAATCGAATCGAATCGAAGAGGTGACAACATTGTGTGGATTTAGTGGTCCGCAAGGTAGCCCGCGCAGGGTTTTGTGTTTGACAGCAAAACACAGATGTTAATCCTTCTCCTGCTGCTGCAGCAGGGCCGAAATCTCCTGAAACTTGTGACGATAATCAACGCTGCTCTCACTGATCACCGACATGTTCGATGATGGGTCCTGCATTGAGACGATTGTTTCGTTTTAGGATCGCTTTATTTAACCAACTGAACAACGCACTCACCAGTATATCGCGCGTGGCATCAAAGTCATCCAGATGTCCCAGCAGGCTGGTCAGCGAGAAGTCATTGATGTTCTCCTCCAGCCAGCGTGAATTCGATGTGGAGTCGCGCAACAAATGCATCGGACTGACGCTGCCATTGAAAAAGTTTTGTGCTGCACGGCAAAGGATAATCATTATTTCGATATTCGTTGTCGTTAGCAAATGTAAATCATATAGTGTGCATATTTTAACACATCTTAGCACATTTGTACATACTATTATACAAAAAGATTTCAGCTTTCAGCTCTTATAGTATTTTTTGACACCATAGAATGAAAAGAGATAGACTGTGCACAGGCAAAGTTCAAATTTGAAATATATACGAATTAGGCGGGTTTTATCGCCCCAGCTCAGAATATGGCAAGGGGAGCTCCAGGCTCAATAGATCGGCTCTCTCACGCATACTCATGAGAGGGATTCAGCCAATTTGCACTGTTCGGATCTTAAATCAAAGTCCCACTTTAAACATTTACGAACGGAACAACATGGAGAAAGCCGTAGAGACTAGTCGTTGTACAAGTCACCCCATGCTTATAGTGTGTATATAATTTGCTCAGCTTACTGGTGCTCTCATCTTGGGCGTCCTCTGGCAGCGTGGTGCTTGTGGCTGGCAGCGTTGTCGCCTCCACAGAGAATTCCAAATCGGGCATATCCGGCCCTGTGATGGGAACGCCGCTGCTGTCACTGCTATTGCAGTTGTTGTTACTGCTGCTGTGATCTTCGGCATCGGGCTGGTGCTGTTGCTGCTGCTGTCGCTGACTGACACCGCTATTGGACCCAAGTTTGGACAATAGAGTAGTTAATCCACTGCTGCTACTGACGCGTTCAATGGGCTCAAAGAGACCGTTTTGCAGATTGCGCAGGCTGAGCAGATCGTATGGTTGGGCTACTGAAGATGGCGGCAAGAGGCAACGCTGCACCAGAACCTGACGTGACATCTTCTGGCGAGTGAGCTGCAATATAAAATGCCAATTCGATTAATATAGAAAATATGGAAACAATTTAGTTTGTTGCATTTTGAGCACCTTGGTCAATTGACGCACTGGATCAATAACATTGACCATGGGCCTGCGTACTGGCAGCATGGGCGTGCGAAAGATGACCTCATTGCCATCCGTTGATGTTGCTGTTGCCGATGAAGGCCCAGCGCCAGTTGTCGTACCAGCGCTCGCCAGATTGCTGAGCCATTGCGCCTTGGTGATTAAATCGCGTTTGCGATCGCAACTGTGGCCACAATTGCATTGACGTTTGCGCACACGCTCGCTGAGATTGGCAACCAGGAGCAGGTGCTTCAGCTTATTGCTAACCGTCGCCGTTGTGATCGCCTTAACGCGTTCCACGCTATCACAGTCATTGGTATTGTAGGGCAGCGATGTTGATGCGGAGGACGACGACGTTGTGCTCGTTGTGTTGACGGCTGTGGCACCGCTCGGCGTTATCTGCTCCAGTTCACACCAATAATACTCTAGCTCCAGCTTGGAGTCCTGACCCAGCACCACATACAAATCGCCAATGGTTATATCCGCCGAATTGGATATCGTCCAGCCCTTGCGTATGCGCTTGATCACATCATCGCTGAGCAGCGGCTTAAAGTTGCGCGCTGCAGCAGCCTTGCCGCCTTTTCCACTCCCAGCTCCGAAGCCGTCGCTACGTTTGGCACGTGTTGGGCCTGGAACTGGCGCTGGTGCTGCTGCGAGCACTGCGGCCGGTGCTGGCGGCGGTGGAGCAGTGATTGTTATGGGATTGCTACTGGCGCTGCTTGAGCAGGCAGTTTGCTCAACTGTCTCGCCCTCGGTTTTCAGACTGAGCAGCTCATTGATCTCCTCGCTAATCTCATCGCCGCTGTTGCTCTCCACCTTGACATTATTGCTGGCCTCTGTCAGTTCATCCAAAGGCTTATCCTGAGCTAAACTGGTCAGAGGCTTGAGCTTTTTGGCTTCAGGCGAACGCTTCTCTGAGCCGCTCTCGGTTCGCGCACGCTTGGCGCTGGCAGCGGCCGCAGCTGCTGCGCTGTTCAGCGTCTCGCTGTGCACCTTGACGCCCAAACGCTCCTCGTACGCGGTCAGGCATATGTTGACGCTGCTTAAATACGCCGTAATGCTGAGCAGCGGACGATGTATGGGCACGCCTGGCTTGGGTAAAAAGCAAATCAACGGCTCCGTCAGGGGCTCGGACGGGTCTGTGTTGCCGGTGCCAGTGCCACTGGGTGGCAGCAGCTGCTCCTCCGCAAGCCTAGCGTCAGCGCTGCGCCATTTGTACTGAAACATTTTAATAAAGCTGAACAGCTTCTTGTGGAGCGGCACAATGACGCGACTGCGTGGATTCTGTGCCAACGCCTGAACGCGACCAAACGCCTCGATGTTCGCCGGATTCACCAGCACCTCAATTTTACTGGGCAAGCGTATGTCCTCCAATGTATCTAGGTGGTTTCCCGCAGTAATTAGCTTGGAGTTTGTGTTAGTTCGTTTATGTCGACTCACCATCCAACTGATTGAGACGACGCAGCGCCTTGCAGGAGGGCGTCTTGATGCGTATATTCTTGCCCTTGCAGCGCACGGTGATGTGTCCCTGATAAATGAGCTGCTTCAGTTTCATGAAATGCTTCTCAGAGAGAAACTGCAGCTTGCGCCTCATTTCGCCATAGTTAATCAGCGTGTACAACTCCTGGGCAAGCTTCTTAAGCTCTGGAGCAAGGCATAATTGGAAATGGAGTTAGGTTGGGTTGGAAGGGGGCGTCAAATGCCTGGACATGCTTACCATCCGTAAAGCGGACATATTTGCCAATCTTGTGATATGTTTGATAGTAATGCTGGCGCACTTGGTCCTTGGTCTTGAAACTGTAATCGGTGCTAGTGTTGCGTCGCTTCAGCTTGGCATTGATGCAGTTGGCCACTGCCTCGAAATCCTTGCCATATTCGTTGAGCGCATCAAAGAAACAATTGCGCTCCAGATTTGTCCAAGTCGTTTTGTTGGCGGCCCGCAACTGTGACGGCGTCTTTTGGGTGGCCTTCTCCTCCTTCTTGGTGTGCTCACGCTCCGGCGGTGGCGGCGTCATCGGACGCGTCAGATCTAGTTTCATCTTTTGTATGACACGCGCGCTCGCCCGTGTGCCCGGGCAATTCTGTGTGGTAACCGAACCGAGCAGCTCCTCGGGCTCAACGGCGCTGGTAACTGGCGCTAGCTTGCACTGCACACCCTTGCCATTGCTTGTGAATGCATTCGCTCCAGATGCGACTGCGCTTGTG